TAGCTGCTTTATTCATAGGCCCTTGTAAACAGACAAGATGAAGACTAATTAGCCGAAAAGTTTGGATATCATTTTTATAATGTCATCTCCTCCGTCTCAAAAGGAATGACAGCTGTATATGCATCGATATGTACAGATACATGCCTGCATATATGTCGAGATATACATATATATATATATATATACTCTGATTTCACTTATATACTCCTGTTCAGTATCCTGTTCAAAGAGCTGCTTGGCATCCGTGATATCATCAAATACGAAGAATGCACATGTCAGCCGGACGTCATCGCTGGCCAACAGCCATTTGCACTTTGTGTATAGAAGATATAGAAGATCGGCAGTGATAGCTGGCACTTCCGTCGTCTTCCGACAATTTCATTAATTTATGCACATTTCATGTAAAATTATATGCATGAAATTTTTCAGCTACTGTCTTTGTGAATAGTTTTACAGTTTTATCGAGTGTAATTAAATTTTAATCACGATGACTGCCGGAATGAGAAAAGCTATTGGACTTTCACCGTCGATTTTGGTTCTCTTGAAACAACGTAGTATCAATAGGTAATCAGAAGTGAACTACTGGAAATACGCATGATCGTTTCACCTTCAGATTATTTAAAAACTGCTTAATATATTTTTAAGACACAAGCAGAAATGAAAAAAAGGATGAGAGAAGTTTGCATTCATCCTGAAGGCGCGGATTAATGTTTTACTCAAGAACTTTGCACTCTGAATCGAAAGTGATTACTTAGGTATTGGCCTAAAAAAAGCAACTACAATAGGCTAGGTCAATATCAGGAAGAAGAAAAGCTTTACCTGCTGCTTAGATGCGATATGCGATATAAATTCTAATCATATTATCACTCTTTGTTACTGGTGGATGACAACTGCTATTCTTCGTGACAACTGTGATTCTTGTTTAGAACAGAATTACAGTCAAAATTCCCTGGATTACGGTATTTTACTCCTCACTCACACGCCTTGTCACTGACACCCTGTGGCTACTCAAGCGTATATGTATGCACTATTTCTGTGTTATCAAGGTTATACATGACGGCAGAAAACAAGAAACATGAGTTGAGAAAATAAGAAAAAACCAAAATGTGGCTATGGATCTGAAACACGTGCAAAAAATGAACAACGTGCGAACGGTATATGGCCTCTCACACATAGTAAAAAAATAGCTGTAGCAACCTGAAAATCAAATAAATGCTACTAACAGAACGTCGGAAGGATGTTGTTTTGAAATCACCAAAATAATGCGGAAAATTTTGGACGCAACTGCAAATATGGGTAGCTGTATGCAGCAGGGCATGAAATTGAGATTTTTTCATCTTGATTTATAGGATTCAATCATTAATCGCCGGAAACAGCACTTTTACCAGAAATAATTTCCAATATGTAGTGGAACCATCCAGACTCCGCTTGGACTTCACAGTTGTTCAGACAGCAATTTTTGTAATCGTTCAGACCAGCTACATATTCACGCAGAAGAATTATATTTACTACGAAACAGCAGCTACATGCACACAAACATCAAACAGTTTTATGGCAAATGTTCAATGACTTTTCATTGTCTTCAGCGCCAACGGCTTTTCTTTCCGGCGTGCTACTCATTTTAGGTCATAAATAGCCTCCGGCGGTGGTATCGTTGTCAATTAGCGAGCTCGGAAGAACGCCGCACTCTAATTGACACTTCATGGTCCATGGGCGTCTTGGTCCTTGACAAATATTGCGCCGACCGAGGTGAAAAATTCTATGCAGACCTCACAGTGCTCGAACAGAATCCGGTCATTCATCATAACCACGCCTTTGTGACTGGCAGACCATTGAGGAGCCAGCATTTCAGGTAATCACATAAGATAAGCTGCGAGGTGACCGTTCTTCAATAACCGCATTTTTTCTCCAGTCCAGTGGACCCTCTAGAAACTACATTTAGAAAAATGCTTGCAGTCATGAATCCACCACAACGGACGCTCATGAAGAATGAATGTTTCTAAGATTTTTCCTGTTGCTGAGTTCCAGTTGTCAATCTTTAAACCAGGAGATGTATTCATTTCCAGATCTCAATTAACGTTGCATCACCCTTATGTTGTGAGTGTTGCTTCCCCCTTATCACGGCTCCATTTAATTGTCAGTAATTTCAACCATTTTTGTGTCATAGTATTGTTTTTCATTTATTGATATGTTGAATTAAAATCTAGTTTTACGGTTTAAATCTTGTGCTGATTTTCAATCATCTTTTAAGTGGAGCAGCATATATTTTTATTCATTTCAATTGCTTTCTCATTCTTTCTTTTTTTCGGCAAATAGAACTCCTTAAGAACATTTTATGCAAGGAATTTCCATTTATTCGTTCATTTATTCATGTTTGCAGTCGTTCATCCAATGATCGCTTCCGCATCGTAGCATTGCCTATTATATTTCTAACATTTGACCGCTTCTTATGGACTCAGAACCGAGCACGTCAAGCCATATTCATATTTACATCTCTCCCCCTGCTCCTTAACCACTTTGATCACACTTCGAAAAGGTGACGTTGCTGCTACTTCTTCATCGTCATCTGAGGTTAACAGAACCGCATATAGATTTGTGATGTCTGTCTGTTAAAAATTGTACTTCACATTTATATTAGGCAACCTTCACTGCTCTTGCAAAGCTCATGTTCTTCTACGCAAGCAGGTCTGCTTCAACAAGATTTCTTCAAGTTTTGCTTCCTCCAACGGCTAGTGCACGGTTCCAAAGCGAAAAAAAGTTTTCGATATATTTCCATTCTTTCCATTCTCTGGGCTGATCTAACTGTGAGGCGCGGGTCTTTGAGTTCTCATCTGAACCTTTGCTCAAACCGATGATCGCCAGCACCCAAAGGTCCCATCGCAATTTAAAGACATCACACAAAAAGCGTTATTTAGAGCCGTCTCAGCGAACTTCAGCTAATACGCCT